TATTATAATATAATAAATCAGATAAACATCGGAGAGATATGATCTAAAAATGAGCCATATATGGCCCATAAATGAGTCATTTATGGCTCATTTTTTATCTCATTTTTCACGGCCTGGGTTACGGTTACGGTTAACCGTTCAACCGGTTATTTACGGTTACGGTTAACCGTTCGACCGGTTATTAACGGTTAAGGTTAACCGTTCGACCGGTTATTACGGTTACGGTTATTTACGGTTACGGTTAAACGGTTAATAACCGTAACCGTTGCATGCCTAGTATCAAAACAGAAGGGGCAAAAAATAATATGCACATGTACAACTCTGACTGTAGTTTTTGCAATCTTCGCGGGTTGAAACCGGTAACGGTAACCAGTCAGAATCGGTGGGACCGGTAAGGATAACAGATCAGAACCAGCTGGATTGGTAACGGTAACTGGTAAGGTGCGGTTACTGTTACCCTTTGCATCCCTAATAGAGGTGACTCATTTTGTACCTAGTTTTTTATCTTAAGGAATGAAGCCATCATTTGCATCTCAGCAGATTCTCTGAAAGCCCAGCTTTAAAGTATGGCAAACGTTTCATTAAATTTTGTTTTGCTGCCGAGAAAATTCATTTTTTCCTAAATCAGAGGCCGTAATTCTCAATTTTCTCCAACAGAGCTCAACTTCTATGGAATAAAAATATCTTATTTGGCATCAGGATAAAAAAACTAGCCGAGGGAAATGTAACTCTATATGTAACTCTCCAAGTACTTTAATTTTTTTCGAATTTTCACGTTGAAAAATGATCGAGATTTTTCCCAAAATATGAAAATAAACTAAAAAGTTCGACATACACATCACTCGATTCATTCCTTAAGACAAAAAACTAGATACAAAATGCCTCGTCTCTATTTCCTAGTGGTCCTTTCGGACGTGCATGGTGGACAGGCGTTTACCTCCGAAATCGATCTAATATTATTTCTTAGCTCACGAGGGAAGTACCCAAGGGGGAAAAAGAGGACTCCTAGACCCCTATGGACTTTTTTTGGGAATCACTTCCCAAAAACGAACAAAAGTGTTCATTTTTTGGGAAGTGATCCCCAAAAAAGAACACTTTGCACTTGGACTCCTGGACTTCAGGAGTCTGCTTTTTCCCCCTTGGAAGTACCCCAACTGATAAATCGCTTTTTCAACGAAACCGAGTGGACTATAGGTAGTCGACGATGCTGATTCCGAATATCACCATGAATGCTGCTGCTAGGTCTTCAAAGACCGGTCTTCTGGAAAATCAGTTTTCGAGAAACTCTAAAGAACAACCAAAAGCTTTCTTAATGAGGCGTAATTGTAGTCCATAAATTTCTGATTAAAACGAGGCACCTTCCAGCTCTACACGACCTTTTTTTGCAAAGTTATAGAGTTTGCAAGAAAAGCCCTAAATGTTCATTGTCACCTCAGAGCTACAGAAAGAAAAACGAAAAATGAATTTAAGTCTTTTCTTGTAAACTCTATAATTTTGCAAAGAAAGATCGTGTAGGGCTGGGAGATGCCTCGTTTATTTGGGTACAAAATTAGAAATAGACAACAACAATGAACGAAAAATGGCTGAAATGGAGTTTCTATGGTGAATATTTCGAAATACTATACAAATTTCAATAATATTCAGTACTGTTGAATTAACAGATATCTCTGTTTGATCGATATTTGTCGATGTCACATCTACATGCATCGCTGATTTCCGTTTCAGTTAAATTATGAATTTATATGGTGAGATCAACAAATGAATGATAAATATCAGAAGTTCGATGAATTGTACATTCCATATCATAATTTATTTGCACAACGATTAAAAGGAAACGACATTTCGACGATAGAAAACGAATCAGGCAAACACTTGTTTAACAAACAAAATTAAATTAATATTTGCTGATGACATTACAACAGCTGATTCATCAAGAAAAACAAGCAAACATTTAAATTTATAGATTTTATAAAGATTAAACTAAATGATCGACCAAAAAAATTTGCAACGACACACTTCTAGTAGAATACCAGATTTGATGATTTTTTTTGGTTAACCCTTCAATATTTATAATTTTTTAATTAGTGTAAACAGTTCTATTGATAGACAAAAAACAAGTTCAAGTCTGTATTTCCATTCTCTGTTCTGAAAAAAAAACGAGAAAATGTTTTTTTCCCTACAAACTTGACCAATAAAAATGTTTTTTTCACTTTTTTACTTGTAGCTTGTATGTTGAATTATTGTCAGACGCAGCTATGAATATTAAAATAGTTTATTCTTCTAGTTTTCTGTTCACAACCAAAATAAGATAATTAATAAAGAACAACAAAAAAAATGTTTTTCGATTTTAAAAAGTAACCAACTATAAGCGATTGTTTTGCAAAAAAATATCTGTTTGTTTTCTTGCATTTACAGTTCACAGGAAGAACAATAATACATATAAGTTGAACTGACAAAAAAAAACGAAAAGATCACAGAGAATAAAGCATGAAAAATAAACGGAGAAAATGAAAATTAATAGATTTGTTTATCATGTTTCTTGATTATCTGACACTGTGTGACACAAGAAGGAAAGACGAAGTATACTTCTGACTGGACATATAGATATAGAAGTATTTATCACAGAAATAAATGTAAATTTCAGATATACGGAGTTAGTATCATAGCTACGCGACAGGTGAACAAAAAATAGAGGAAAAAGAGAAAATATATGAACATAAAATATAGGATAAAGAAAATGATGATAGACTTCAGAATTATTGACACATATTTTCAGCGTCATTAATCTCAAACATCCGTGTTTTGTTGTTCTTCTAGAAATCAAATAGTTACAAGAATCTTTGATATGTAATTGAATTAAAATTGAAATCTTCTTCTACAATAACAACGAATATATAAATACAACTACAGACAAAAGAAGCTAGAGAAAATTAAATAAATAGTATACATAAACGAAATAAGATTATTCTATGAATACATCTTTTTCAAAACAAAAAATAGAAGACAATTTAAGTTTGATATGAGAAATGAAATAATAAATTACAATGTATTTTCAAACTGCTTAAATTCACGCAGAACAAAGGAGAAAAAAAGCAGTATCCATCTGACACAGACTTATATACAAGAATAAAAACAGCAACTTGAATATCAAAGTGTACACGTTCTTCCGGTAGATAGTTTTTTGAATTAGTAAGATGACACAAAAATAGACTACAACTATCTGTTAATCAAATCAATTTTATTCTAATTCGGATATGGCACAAGAGATAAGATAAAATATTTACAAACATACTGCTAATGGAAATAATACAGCAGTCCACTCTTGTTTCTAAAGAAAACAAAAAGAGGTTTAAAATTTAAAATTAAATCACTTCGATCAAATAACCGCAAATCTAATGTTGTAGAACAAAATTGAAGACAAGACAAATTATGCGAGCACTACTATGTACGGGATCTGGAAAACGCGTGTTTTAAAATTCGAGATGAATTTTTGTTTTTGAGTACCTATTTAAAATTAATTAATTAGTTAATAATGGTATCACTTCTGTAGATGGTACAACACTGTTAAATATGTCGAAGTACCTTCATCCGTCTAATACAGAATTAGTCGACGAATGACATCACTTTTAAGGAGTTGTACACTTTGAAGCTGGCATCATAGATACTGATACTGATCATAGAGCCAAATCTACCATCAACGATTTCTGACTAATCGATCATAGTAACTGCAGGTTCAAAAAATCGATTCAGTTTAAAATGAAACGGTTTTGTTCTATTCTGTCATGTAGGATTCAGACTAATGTTTGCGCTTCTGATAAACCGAACAATCCAGTAAGTAAGCGTAGCTTACAATTACAGCCTCAATTATTGTCTGCATAAGATAATAATTCTCTGAGTAATATAGTTTTTCTATCTGACACTAAATCTGATACTAAAGCATTATGTGAGAAGAAAACTTTGCCAAATTTAAAAAAAATAAACCGCCGTATGTACGTACATGGTAAAATAATTAACACGAAGACCACTCAATGTCCACCAATTCATTATTAGCTGCTATTTGTTGTAAAGCCAAAACAAAATATTCATGCAAATACGCAAAATCCATCTTTTCAGCTGAATCGGTATGTGCTTTAGCACATTGTGATGATATTTTCAATACTTGTTTAAACATCAAACACATTTGTTTGTACTCATTGTCATCATCCCATTTAACATTTAAAAGGTTGTAAACTTTCTTGTAATAGACAAAATTTGGTATCGTAGAACCATCATTTGAATTATCTAAACAGAGAATTAGAAAATAAAAAGAAACTTAACACGGCAATTATTATTCATTTTTCAACAGTAATAAACGTCAACTCTTTTCGTTTTATTTTCAGATTATCTATTTGAGACAAACCTTTATGTTTTTGTTGAACAATAAGGGATGAACACAGTGAGCTTTCACCGTCATCTGGTTGTTGATAAAATACAAATTTTGTTAGAACATGTTGCCATGTTTTCTCTAGAATAACTTGTTTTTTATCGGTTGGCAATGATCGTTGTTCGCCAAATATTTGTTGTCTATAGAGCCAGTTATTAATAACTTCCAGAAAACATAATTCAATTAATTTTAAACGTTGTTGAACAAACTTCTTTGATGTCGTTGTTCTAGCTAATTGAACGAGAGCATCTTCAACATCGTTGCCATTTATTCGTTGAAATGTAACGAGAAAACTCAATTGTTTGCTATTGACCAGTGATTGCAAAGCATTTTTCATTGCTAAACCAACGATTGTATAATGTTGAAGTTCGAGAGAATGTTGTTGAGACAATGATGTTGACGCTGAAATAAACGAAATAAAAGCGATTTACTATTCCGAATTATATGAAATTCTATTCTATCTTCGACTTTCTAATCGAATAAAGAGGCGCAAAGAAAAGGCCTGCACAAGAGAGATTTACATTAAATTACACCTACTATTAGAAGACAGATATTAGTATTCAGTATTTTAAAGCAGTCTGTCATTTGTGCATCTTTTGTTCACTTACATTTGAGATCTTCCATCTTGTTTTGTCTAATTTTGATCAATAATCGAGCGAATAACCATGGGAAACTTAAAATTTTTTTTAAATATGATTGTTGATAACAGACGACATAACACGCTGAAGCTTTGGCCATTTTTTCATATGTACATGATGAACAATCACAAGTTTTATGTCGATTTCCATGTCGATTATCAAATTCTTCATAAAACAAATTTCGTATTTTCTCCATCAACCGTTTTAATTCAACTTGTGCTGTATCAACAATATCGAATTGTTTTAGTAATATTTGTTGTTGGGAGTCAAAACGACAAATTAAATCGACTTCTGATGAAAAATGATAGACAAACATAATATCGAGTATGGATTCTCGATAAACTTTGAATAACTCTTCAGCTGATTTTTTATATAAATGATGTTTCTCATGAACGAAGAGAGGATCGATTTGTATGTGAGCTGTAATATGTGTGGAAACGATGCCATGTGCATTTGGAGTAGCTGGAGTGGTATAAGTAAGAGAACGATTAATTTTTGCCCATCCTGGAGCAGAACGAAGAACAGCACGATACAATATACCTAAAGCAAAGATTATAAATTAGTAACAATCATTATTATCGTAAGGGAGGGGGGTTAATTCTCGATTTTCTCTAACACAACTTCTATGTAATAAAAATATCATATTCGGAATCAAGATCAAAGACTGAGTCGATTGATGTTTATTTCTATACTATCCGACTACATTAATTTCTTTTGAATTCTCACGTTTTTCACGGATTGATTTTCATATGGTTGAAAACTTACCGAGATTTTCACTAAAAAATGAAAATCAATTAAAAATTTCGAAATACACATCATCCGACTCAGCCTTTGATCCTGATTCTGAATACGATACGATCCGCACTAAAAAAGAAATACGTCATCCGGTAGAGATGAATGCAACGCACAACATTTGCAGTGACCTAAACTTTCCAAAATGCTTCGTTGACGCGGGCGACTGCGCAAGAAATACTTTTTGCACTAGGTGCAAAATAGCTGAGAAAATCGATTTTTTTTAATTTTTAAAAATCTCACCTCTCCTCCAAAACTTATCCAACCTGTGAATTATTGCACACATATACCCTTGAAGATGTCCTCTACAAACTGGCAAAAATTTGAATTGCGTCGTTGTTCTATTTGCTTACCGAGTACATGTTTGGACGTATATGTTTCAAAACCACCCCGATTCTCAACATAATCTGGACGTTTGCCACATAATTCAATATTTAGTTTTCTTATTTGCTCATCCGTATACGGATGTCTGCCGGTTTTACCTGAAATAAACAAGCATAAAAATCTTTACTGAAAGGTAAAACAGACTATGGAAGGTATAAAAAACAATCTGTTCAAAGAAACAATATTGACAGATATCATTACGCGAGAAAGAATTAGTTTTTTCAGTCGATATCGTTTAAAAGTACAACGTTATTACATCAGCATGAATTTTAAAGATCAACGTTTCTTCAACACATACCCGCATCTACTTCTTGTGCAATAGCACCGGCAATTTCTATAGATCTTGGATCTGTCACTCCAAATGCATCCACATAGGCCAAATGTAAATTTGATAAACGTCCTAACATGTCATGTTCACTAATATCGAGAACAATATTTCTTATATCTTCACGTGTTACTGGACGATCTAATTTTTTTGGTTTTTCTTGTTGATCATAATCATACGGTTTGTAATTTTCCGTTGTAGGAATCAAATCTTCATGCCAATAAACAGCATACTCATCACCTACACATGAAAGGTAAGAAGTTCTTTAAACTTTAACATTTTATGTTAGACGATTCATTACCATCAAGGTCACTGCCACTGATTTCATTTGGATGGGGGCGTGGTCCATTTTGTGGAAAAACAATTACATCTTTGAGATGTCTTAATTGTGGCAAATTGACAGCTGTAAATGTTCGCACATCACCTGGATGATGACAAGGATTTTTTGTTACAACAACTGGACCTTCGAGTACACGTGTATTTGAGTTAAACGTTCTTGATGGTTCATCGAAAAGAGAATCTGTTTTCATAATCGTGTATTGAACAAACACTTCACCATATTGTAAAATGCTTGATTCATCAACGATACCAATCATATTTCGAGCTTTGTTCTTGCCAATTTTTGATCGAGATTTTTTTTTTAATTGTTGAATATCATTTTTACATACGGTTGTAAGCAACTGACGAAAAAAAGGTTCATGAATCACATCAATTTTACCTATAAATAGTTTGCAATAAAATAAACAAATTTTATCAAAAAAACAATAAACTTCTATTTTGTTATTTACTATACTTACCCTCAAGAATTAATTCTCTAAATGGAAAATTTAATTGTCGAATTTTATCATTTAATACATCAAATGTATCTGCATGATGAAGCAACGAGTTAATAAGCCATAAATGATGTTCATTTTGAAGTATTATAAAAACTGAATCATGAATTTCACGATTTGATAATAACACAATGCCCTGACGATTTAAAGATAATGGTCCTACAAATGTAGAAAATAAAACATATTATTCATTTTTCTTAATAATACACATTGTTGTTGACGATTATAATTTTTATTTTGTCATGTTACTTAAACATGTTATTACTTCTCAATCATCTCGTCTATGATATAAACAGATTGAGGAGAAAAAACAACAGCAAAATTGTACCTACTTGCCGACGATACTTTACATAATTCTAAAACATTATGATCGGTTGTGAATTTTAACATCGAATCACGTAAAACAAGTTGTTTATCATGACCATTTAATTCAGGATTAATGGCAATTGTACCTAGAAAGACAAGCAATCATTTTTGTTAAAATAAACATAATTAAAAAAGTACAATAAACAAACAGTACCTTTACATCCTCCATATCTAATTTGCATAACACTAAACTGATGTCGAAAACCAATTGAATATCCAATCTTAATAGAGAAACAGAACATTAATATTTATATAATTTATGTCGAGTTTAATGTAAACATACATCATCTCTCAATTCGGTTGAAATTATACCGACACCATCTGTAAATGTATAACCATTGCGTTCAATATCGCTAATATACTGAACTTTTTCAGCTGGAATCTAAAGAACAAGTAGAATTATTCAATCATTAAGTCAGTGAGAAAACGAAATCACAAGAGATTAAAAGTTTAGCCGATTTTTTTAATATGATAAAATAACACTATTCATCACTATCTTTCATCATTTATCTACTAATGTCACCAATTTCATATTCATTCATCATTTCTTGAAGAGAAAATTTGTCATAATAGTAAAATACCTAAATTATACTACTGATATGTTGACGATATCTTCAGTATTCTACATGGCACACAATAAGACATTATTAGCATAAAAATTAGCAGCAAATGAGAAAGCAGAAATATTAAGACATTTTTTATGGTGAAGAATTTTTCAGAATGATGAACAGACCACAGAAATAACTGAACAGCAGATATTTGGCAATCAAATCAAATGCAACGAGTCGAACGATAAAAGAGTCTTCTCGTGACCATAAAGTCCATTTATTCTAAAAAAAAAGCTTTGTTTTGAATATTTTTTTGTACGAGTCATTCGAATTCCTCTCTCGACTATGTTAAATTGATCGTTTGACTGCTATATTAGTAGATAACTGGCGAAACATCTCAATAGATAGTATTATTTTATCATGCTTGAAAAGATGACTGTACTTTTAATTTCTTTATTGAAAATTTTCATCTCAAATCCATCTATCAAGTCACAATATCACTTACTGCTATTGTTGCATCTGTACTTGTTAAACATTGTGCTATTCTTGCTGAATGTTTGGCTACGACTCTTTCCGATTCAAAATTTCCCATCCAAGCATAAGCATCTTTGAATCCTAAATTTTTTTGTTGTGGATCATGAAAATAAAACCAAAATTGTTTCTCTTTTAATTGACTTTGAGAATGATGGAGCCATTTGTATAGACGTTGTGGTGTTATAGAAATTCCATCCAAATATTTTTTCAATTTCCATCTAAAGAAAATAAGTTAGATTCAAGTTTAAATATTTGATTTATGAAGTACCTTAATGCTCTATAATCTGTAGCAAATAATGTTGATTCATCTTCTTCTTTGACTTCAATTAAAGCAAAATTCATAGGACCACCAAATTTTTGTTCTCTCAATACACGATTTGTTTTACATAATTTAAATGGTCGAATACAAACTGTTGATGGTGTAAGAAGCACACTTGGAACATAGGCATAATTTTTTGGTGGATTTTCTAAACAACTCATCATCTTTAACGATACACCATCACGTTTTGGTTCCATATCAATTAAACGTTGTTTATATTTTACAAATTCTTCTTGTAAATTAATAAAATGATATTCTTTAGCACGACGCCACATATGAATCGATATTTGATAAAATTGATCATCATTCGTTATTTTTTTAAATTCATCTAGAAGGAAAAAAAGTAAACAATATTTACTATTTGAAAATTCTTTTTGCTTTACTTCGTAACTTTTAAAATTAGACATACCTAAGAATTCTTTGACAATTCGTTGTTCAAATCGATAACCAATAGACAATAACATTGACCAACAATAGTTTTGAATAAATGTTTGAAAATTTAATTGTTTATACCACGAATATGTGTTTAAATCCGCACCAGTTGAATAGTTCACCGAACCATAACACACCGTTATTTTATGACGATAAAAATAATCTAATAACTGTTTATAAGCCTCTTTAATACGACTAATATCAACATGTTGCTGTTTTCGTGGCTCATCTGGTACACTATGACCATTTCGACGACAATTCTGTCTTGAATAAACTTTTGCTGGTGACCAAGAGGATAATTGAACTTTTAGACGAATAGTTGAGAACGTTTTATCGGGTTTTAAATTAGCAGTACGTTGAGCATAATATGATGACTTTGAGCCATTCGGATCTAGCAACAGAGTAGAAAAAAGGCTAGTTATATTTTGAAAAGGCTAAAAGAGTTCTATTTTCTCAAAAAATGATACAAATATAGACATACTTTTGTCTGGTTCGCAGATAATTCTCTTTTGAGTAATCCAATTGCCTTTCATACAAATGTAACAAATAAATCCACATGACTCTGATAATGTTGTAAATATAGCACATTTGTCAATAAATTGATATTTAATTATTTTACGATCGTCATTTTCAACATCCATAATAAGTTTATCATCATAAAATCGCAGCCACCATCTTGTTGATTTAATAATTTTATCATACGCATTAAAAGTATTCATCGATACTAAAGCACCTCGGCATACTTCCATTTCGATACCAGCTTTAAATTCCAATGAACAAATACATTTGTTTCGTCGAGTATGCATTAATTGTTGTTCAAGTAAATGTTCTTCATCTAAATAAATGAACATCGTTACTGCAACAAGAAATTATGAGTGTTGAACTTAAGTTGATCACACTTAAATAAACTATTGTTTAGTTAATTCAGCTAAACAACAGGATTAGTGCGAAGACTATCATGAATATAAGATAAATATTGATAGTCAATAAAACTATTTTATTTACCTAAATTAAAATGTTTATCTTGAAACATTGGTCTCTTTCGATACGATATCCAAAATGTTGTTTTTTGATTGAGAAGATTTTGTTCAATTTTGATTATTTGTGAATTAAGTGATTGTGTTGACTGTTCAGAGAATGCAAATGTGTGCGATTGTAATCCGAAAAACCAGACATCGTGAATAACTGCTTGTGGATCATATGTAATTGAATGTTTATCAAATAGGGCACATACACGTTTAAAACTAATTTGAGAATTATCAGTGATGATAGATAATTGAGCATTATCAATTTGAAATGAGAAATCAATGGACGGTTTTGGTTCAGCAGGCTGTAAAAATGGCTGATGCTGAGATTGGAGGGCACCATACCGACATTCATAGTCAAATTCCTACAAGAAAAAACAAAATTAAAATTTCAACTAGTTTTATGTTTTTTTAACGTGCAGTAGAAAAATGCTAACGATATGTTTCCAGTTAGTGGCAGAGCAGCGTTTATGAAATAATCCTAGCAATTGTGAGGAATTTTAGTATTTTCACTTAGTACACATAAAAAATAACATTAACTACTTACTATGTTATCGTAATACAAAAAAAAACTAACTTACTCAACAGGAACCATTTCCACCGTTGTTACTTAGTTGAAAAAATTTAACATACATGACAGTTGTCACTAACTTAGTAACTCAACTTCTTTCCAAGCAACTTTTAGAAAGAATTTCCGTTCTCCTCCAATTGAACTCATTGAGTAGAGGTACTAATTCCCTTTAAAATTGAATATCATAGCTCAGTAGAAGGATATTTTCACTCCCTAATGACCTTTAAAATATTTCTACATTTATCTCTTATTAACTCTGATAGTTATCTAACTACTACTGCAAAAGTCTTTCCAATAAAATGTCAAAAACAAGAAAATACAGCTAATGTAAAGTCCAGCGGGAGAAAACAGTCAATCTTGGAGATAAAGATGAAAAAATTAAGTTTGATCATTAAAGATTACTGCTTACTTCTCCTAATTCAAAATGTGTTTTTTCTCTTGGTTTTGGTTCTATTTGCTGTTCGGATTGTTCTCGTAATTGCTTAAAAAATGATTTGGTTCCAAAACGATTCGTTGGCTAAAGCAGGGAAAGAATGATCACAAAAACTCATATACAAATTTTCTTCACAACTTACAGCTTCTTCTAAACTTCGCTTAGGGTCAATTTTGACAATTGATCCTTCCAAATCGATACCATCAAACGAACGATTGATTTGACAGAAACCACGGCCATTGACAGTTTCTTTACCAAACAGCTGAAATTGAACAGATCATTTCCACATGTCTTCGGTAGTAGAAAGTATGTCATTTCTCTTACTGGAACTAGTGATTCTGGTGGTTTCTGGCTTAATCGGCCGGAAAAAGTATCATCTTCGACTTCATTCTCTTCGTCTTCCTCATTGTCATAATAGTTATCGTCCTGTCGAACTTCTAAATGACAAAAGGCGTCGTCCGCAATCGATTCATCTTCATCTTTTTGCTGATAAAACAGTTCTTCATCTGAATCACGACGACTCCAAATTTCTTCATCTTCATTTTCTTCATAAACTTCTTCGGCGTCAAATTCAAATTCATCGTCACCTGACTCATTGGTCGATTCGTCCACTGGAATATCATCATCAGTATCAAACGGAATATCGTCAGCGTCCTTAAAAGAAATTACAACGATACCAAATGATTTTTTCGCTGAAGATTGTTAGATAACGGTATGAAGGACGATCAGACTAAAGCATTATATATTGCAAAAAACTTATCCATCGTTCTTGTGTAATGTGTATTTTCATTACCTACAAAATATGCTGCGATATGCAGGCTCTGAAGACGAAAGCAGCAACACTAAGCTTAAATCTGAATAATGTATGCCATCTAAACCAACATATTGGCGCCGAGACAGTTATGATTAAACAACCACTATGAATCACTTACACTCATTTTATCATTAATACATAAGTTCTATTAGGTCAAACTCGATGTTTTCCACGATTTCAAAATATACCGAACTAACTACTAACTAAGAATCAGATAAATCACAGTCTTCAAGTTTATCGTATTGCTTTGTTCGCTGATTTTAAATTATTCATTCAAATATCGTTTATAATAATTCATTATATTTTCATTTTATTATGTTTTTCTACAAAGAATAAAGATAACAGTAAAAACATGACGCTAAATCAGAGTTTTGTTTTTCTAGCGTGAACGAAAACTAGAGAAAAAAAATGATGATTTATACATACAGACCAAATCAAGAAAACGCCACGACGAAAATTAACAGTACGCACGACTTGGAAATATGTGAGAGGTTCGAGGAGTATGCTGTAAGTGTGCGTGAGAATGTCATGATTCTGTAAACATTTTGTATCAGCGCTCTTTATCGAATTGCACATGAATGTCTGAATTTAGACTGACTACTTCTTTCGTCCATTTCACTTATTTTTCGTGTTGTTTTCAAGGCAAGACAAGTAAAAGGAAATTCCCACTTATCACTCAATCCGATGACTCACTTGCTCTTCCCTTGGCTAGAAAAAACTGCCCAGTAAAGTACTACTTCTAACACACCATTCATTAGTTTATTTTCAGAACTATTCATCATATTAACAAGACCCGCAACATTCTGACCGAAATTGTTGCTATGCATTAGATAAAAAACTACAGGCCGATACGCATGAGACATCTACTTATCGCATCGTATGCATATTACTTTCGAAACATCCGTATCAGATCGTCTGTTACTTCCATGCAAGCAGGACTTTATTCTGCTTTCTTGAATAAGTCTGAATGTTTTTTAACAATGAGAATACTTCAGTGTTTGACATGAAAGTGTAAAAACATCTAGTTTTATTCCTTTGCGACAAAAGTTAAATTAAGAGATGATCCATGACATTATTGACCATCGATGTAGGATCAAGACAAACGAATTTTGAAATTTCGTTCTCTTCTAGCCAGCCTGAAAGAGTATCATGATTTGACCATAAATCAATTCATGATATTTCTTTTTAAAACTCAATCTAGCAGAGAACAGCCTCGGCTTATTTTTGGTGCTTGAGAGCCCTCGAGTGAAAAACAGATTTTTCACTAATACTTGTTATGTTGTTTTTATATCTTCTCAATCAATTGTCGTCCGACTTTTTTTTAATTGACACTTTATTAGAAAGAGGAGCGAATCAAATTATGTCTGTGCTAGTTTTTCTCCAGTTATCCAGAATTTTGAGTTTATCAGAAAAATGGATGCAAACAGCTTGGCTAAGTTTTCAGTATTTTCTGTTGTGGTTTATCCCAATCAACTTTCACCCATCTTTTGATAATGCCATCGCATAGCCTGTGGAATTCTGTGTCGAATGGTATAGTATATAGACATTAAAAACCAAAACCTCTCAGAGCTAGATGAAACCTTTACAGAGTACCTATTTCTCCGTATGATTTCAGAAATAAGTGATATGCCAGTTTGTAGAGCTTTTGGCCAGCTAGAAAGTTCACTTCAGATTGTTCACATCCGTACAGCGAACAATTCTGATGAGCAGTTTCTGGCACTTGTATATCACGCGTGTAAACGAGCAAAAAGAAGAGGGTGCTCATAACACTTTTCTTGATGATCATTCGATAAGACATGTGCAAAAAGGCACGTTGTAGCATTAGTGACTGACTAGGAGAGAATCGTTAGTAGAGTACGAAATCTCTTACGATTTCGTCTAACTATTAACGATTAAGTCTAAAATATCGACTAACGTTACTCGATATTTTGTCGGACCTGTGTTCTGACTATCTGTCTCCTCTCTTTCTCTCTTTTTCAGTTAATTTAACCCAACGGCCGTAAAGCAAGCTTATGATATGAAATTACTTTAATATCATATATATAACTACAGGTTTACAGGAATAAAACACACTTTTCACCTTCTTTCAGCCAACGAGCTGAAGAATTATTGTCTCGGTCCATCGTCACATTGGCGTCCTATACGAACAGCCTGATGATAATACTATTTACAATATGAAAACGTATTCGAAGGTTAGAATTACTGCTTATTTCATATTTCTCAAAAACAGTAGTCTTTCTTACAAAATTGATGTTTCCTACTGAAAGTATTGTGTAAAAAAATCTACAGCTTTTTCATTTATAAATGTGTGTAGACATGATAGCGGAATAGAAGATTTGATGAACACGTGCGCTGACTGCCGTAGTTCCCAGTCGTGCACGTACAACAGATTCTTCTTTTCTCATTCTACATTCGACCGGATACGGCCGCCGTAAACGACATGACTGATAAACTGACTCCAATTCACTTATTGTCGATTACGGCCGTAATGCGTCGTATTTCCGCCATTTACGGTGCCGTAAAGGTCTCCGTAACCATAGATCTAAACTGTGTATATAGTGTTAGGTAAAAAACGTCTGATAAGATCGGTCTCATCGTAGCATAAAAATTTTGCGATCATATATAGTCTATATATCCAACATCGTCCTTATGAATAAACTTCAAAAATTTTCTTTTCTTCAACTTCACACATCAGATGGGTACAAAATAATGTGCATGGTTTACGAACCTGTCTAAACATGATCTTAGGATGACAGAATATTATCTATGCTGGAAAATACATTGGAAAAGATAATTTCGACAGTTCCGTAGTAGTTGTTTAATAGTACAATGTTAATAAATTGAGTTGCTATTTCAACGTTCTCTTTTCATTTATCGAATTTTCAAATAATCTCTGTATTTTATATTATCCATATTCCTTTCTGCAACTCTGTATATATATATAGTTCATTCACGTTTGTTAGTATACAAATCATTACTTGTTGAAAGTCAATCAAGATAATGACTTTGAACAGATAATGTGAAATGATCACATTAAGACATTGATTGATGTGATTCGAAAGTGCCTTTTCTTTTTCAAATTGATTTCTTTTTCTCGCCTGACTGTCGAATCTCTACTGATTGAATAATTTATTGAGAGTTAGTGATGATTTTTTTCGTGGCTAGTTTTTCAAATAGACGAGCTTCAAAATTAGAATTCTAACTAATCCTTATGTCACACTAAACGAGAGTAGAAAATGGACTGCACAATACAGCAACATATACATAGCGGATAGGAAAAAAGTAGGTATACGATAAAAGTATGAGATGCGTGTGGTCATCATAGAGTCAAATTATTCTAACAGAGTTCTGTGAGACAAAACAGCTTTTTGATTAAAAGGTACAAGCGACGGCTCGTGGGTTGAATCCACCACTTTCTTGATAATACGCTGTCTATGGAATGGTCAGTTAGAAAGAAAGGAGTGAGAGAGTGATAATTGATCTTTTACACCTTCTTTCCTGGATTCAGCTGCTATGCCGTTGAAATATGTGGAGAAGAAAATTAGTCAGTAGAGATTCGGCAGTCAGGCAAAAGAAAAAGAAATCAACCATTTGAAGAAAAAAAACACTTTCGAATCAGCTAATCACATCAGTCAATGTCTTAATGTGATAATTTCACATTATCTGTTTAAAGTCATTATCTTGATTGACCTTCAACAGGTAATGATTTGTATACTAACAAACATAAATGAACTATATAAATATACAGAATTGCAGGAAGGAATATGGATAAAACTAAAGAGAACTGTTGAAATAGCAACTCAATTTATTGGTAACATTGTACTGTTAAGCAACTACTACGGATCTCTGTCAGAAATATCTTCTTCAGTGTATTTTTTAACTAAGAGTCGAGTAACATGAGTTTGTGTTTATATTTCAGTGAAAGTTTGTTTTTACAGTAAGGGTGAACCATGTTATATAGTACACAACAATTTTCTCTCTAGTTTTAAATTTATGTTGTTAAAAGGGATAGAATAAATATGTATTAGGTATTTATTATTCAAATAGCATTCTTATCACTGTTACAAAAGTAATAAAACTTTCTCCGTAGTTGAAGCGTGGAAAGCTAGTTTTGTTGGAAATTTGTCAAATAAAACACTTTGTCGCAATCGTGGCAAATAGTTTATATATGTTTACGCAGATAGACTAATTTATTAATATTTTCCTGTTCTATGCTATTATTCTTAATCTCACTCTTATATATATATGTGGTATTTATTAGTATTGGAAAAAAACCCATTAAAAATTCTATATTTTATAAAAGCATCTGTGGTAAAGTCTCTCTACAAAAGAGAAAAATCTTCGAAAAGAAGTCTTTGAAAGTCGTCAACAAAATAAAGAAATCGTTGACTCAACAAAGCAATACATAATAAGTAAATGCATAGCGTTTGATTTTCTCTGTATTTCTTTTTTTCACTTTTACATTGACTATATAACATTCTAGCGGTAAAAGGTAACTGCAAAAAAATAAAAGTTTACGACTGTTTACTGATACGATGAAAACGTCTCTATACACTCACTGTAATTTGGAATTATTTTCTACTTTATAGAAAATCGCTGTCGATTTTTCAACTTTTATAAAATCCTCAGCGATTTTCTGACTGTTTAGATAATGTTGATTTTCTCATTTGCCAGAAAATCGATAAGAAATTTCTAAAAAGTTGGACAATCGACAGCGATTTTCTATAAATAATTCCGAACATTGTAGAAAATCGATTCTGTTTTCCAGATTCTAGAAGATCAAAATTCATTTTCTATAAATAAATTCCAACATTCTTGAAATTCGACAGCGATTTTCTAAATAGTTAGAAAGAAGACGAATCGGTGGTTTTTTTCCTGCTTCTTTTACATCTATTAAAGCCTACATTGCAACAAGTTGTCCTGTAACAGATCTCTGCTCGTTTTAGTATTTAAAATCGGAAATGTTAGTAGATTCGGAAAGTTCTCTCAGTTTTTGCAAATCAACATATTCTTCGAGAAGTATTGTTGCTGTATGACACTTGGAGATCACAAAGAGATACTGAAAAGGTTCTTGGGTTACCTGGTTAAGACAAAGTCGACTTCCACCGCAACTTTCTAAAGATCGCAAATTGATTCGCTCTTGCGCGATTCCTCATTTTGTTTGAATTTAACATCTTTCAAAAATGTACCTGGTTCTATTAACTCAAAGACATGATCATAACAATTCATATTTATTTTATTATTTTTTAAATAAAATAATAGTCGTTCAACACGTGCGCGATGTCGAATTTGGTTTTCATTAGTAAAAGATCCATATTGTCATCCAATAAGCTGAAATAATACACCCCACTCAACTTCGAAGTTCAATAGTTTTAAATAATGATGAAAAAGTTTATCTTCAGCCATTTTCACTTGCAAGCCTCTGATTATCAGCATTCTCACTCAAATTATTCTTCCTCATCATCTAGAAAATCGCTGAGAATTTTCTAGGAAGTAGATAATACTCAGACTTTTTGATTTTCGAAAAGTCCATATATAAAATCTCTGAGGATTTTCTATAAATAATTCCCAACAATGTAGAAAATCGATGTCGATTTTCCACATTATTGGAAATTCGATTTTCTATAATCTGGAAAATCCGTGAGAATTTTATATATGGATTTTTTGAAAATCGCCGAGCATTTGCTATAAACAATTCCCGACTTTACAGTGTAGCTGTTTCCAAATGAAACACGACCTTTAAAAACGTTCAAGATCATACTGTTTCTGGTAAGTCCTTATTGCAAGAACTTACAAGATCACTCTGCATGAAGTAACAAGATCTTTGTTTATCTTCAGTAAACGTGATATGGTTTAGAAAAACTATTATTATGGCCAAACACTGGTTCTTTTTGAGTATATTCTTACTTCTAAAAATGAACTGCACTATTAGTTGGATAGAAACGAATTCTTCCACCATTCAATTACTCGGTTTGTTTCCAAAAGATCTGAAAAATGTGTCTAAATTTGACTTATGGTCCAATCACAGTCGATCATTATTCAAAGCAGCTATTATCCTAGCAAATCGATCTAACTTTACATTCGGTGGTCACCATCTCGGCTGGCACGAATCAACAACTGAGAATGATGTTATGAGTGCCTTGTCTTGTGCATGTGAAAAAGTTCTAACATCACACATTGTTGGTATTGTTGGACCAGCATATTCCAATGAAGTACGATTTATTTCGCCGTTTGCTTATCGAACTGGTATCCCTATTGTTGGCTATGCAGCAACAAATCCCGATCTATCAGATTTAACATCAAATGAAGCATTCTATCGTCTCCCACCATCCGATCGTGTTGCTGCTTTCGCAATAGCAAAATTATTTCAAAATTTCAATTGGTCATCGTGTACATTAATCATTGAAAACGATGATTATGGATATGGTGGATTGAAGGTATTACAAGAAGAATTTAGTCGAACATCAATAAAAATAAAAAATCGGCTTATATTTGATCGTACTACGCAACGTTTTGCATCAAAAAAGCATCTGTCTGAAACACTTTTAGGTAGCCCATCTCGCATTATTCTCGTATGGGCAAATCAAAATACTACCTATTGCATTTTGAAATATGCTCTTGATGCAGATGTAACTAGTCCATACTTTGTCTGGTTACTCACAAATAATGTTCCAATGAATCTATTTACCGATCAAGAACAACGTAAATTAATTGGGATCCTAACTATCGAACCTGTTGTAGCTAGTGTTGTGGGGGCATCAAGCAATAAAGAACTTTTGGATAAAGCATATCTTATTTGGCAAGAAAATGATAATCTGACATTTCCTGGTGAGATGGATGTTAGTAGTTATGCGTTATTTACTTTTGACGCTACATGGACATTGATACTAGCATTACAAGAACTTTGTAATATAACAAACGATATATGTCTGAAAATAGTTCATAATTCATCTTGTTTTAACGTTCAATTAGTTAATGGAACTTTACTTCGTTCCATTATAAGACAAACAACATTCTTAGGTGTGACAGGACATGTGCAATTTAGTAATGAAACAACAGATCGAATCAACGGTGCTTATTACATTTTAAAGAACGTTCAGTCATTAAAAAAAACTAAAATCAGAGACTATGTACCTGTTTTGAAATGGTGTAGCGACGAAAATTGGACTAATCACTCAAATTTGACGAGTATCATGTGGCCAAATCAACAGTCAACGCATATTCCAGATGATCATGCTCTAATGGCTGGTAAGTATAATAAATTTTCTCTTTTCTAACCGGCTGTTCTTCAACAAAACTATGCATTTTTTTATTCAGGAAAAAAGCTTCGAATTGCCGTAATTGAATCTCCTCCATTCATCATTGTTAAAAATTCATCATCTTTACATCATTCCAATCGCACTAACAGTGTCTCTTATGTTGGTTATTCAATGGATTTGATTGAACATTTACGACATACAATGAATTTTCACTCTGATATTACTCTGATATCATCTGATATTAGCTATGACGAAATAGTTCGTGCTGTAGCTAATGAAACATTCGATGTTGTCATTGCCGATGTAACTATTACAGCACGACGTACACAAATTGTTGATTTTTCAACATCGATTCATGAAAATGTTGTTCGAGTCGTAGTTCGTGCCACTTCTGGTACTAAGGTTGATTTTTTCTCCTATTTTCGTCCGTTCTCATTTACACTCTGGTTAGCATTAACAGGTGTTGTACTTTATGCTGCTATACTCTTGTTTATATTCGAAAGATCTCAAAATAAACAACTCAAAGCAAGAAGTCTAACAGATTCAGCTGCAATGAGTGTCTACTATTCGACAAGCAGTCTTGTTGGACTTAGTTCAGATTTTATTGCAACAACTCCCGCTGCTCGTCTCCTAACAATTAGTCTTTGGATTATATGTACAATATTAATAGCTACCTATACGGCTAATTTATCTTCCTTTTTAGTAGTCGAACGTTCTATGCCAATTATATCGGGCATTGACGATATTAAAAATGCTAAAATACCGTTTGATCGAATAGGTATTGTCGAAGGATCAGCGAGTCACGAATACTATTTGAATAATATATCTCTCATCTATTATCCTCTAAAATCATCAAAAGAAATTTATACCCATTTACAACTGGGACTAATTGATGCTGGTTTATGGGATAATGCTTCTATTGAATATGAAACATCAATAAACTACTGTGATCTAATGCCAGTAGGAAGAGGTTTTGCTCGATCATCATTTGGAATAGTAGTGAAAAAAAATTGGCTTTATAAAGAAGATTTAGATGTAAATATTCTAAACTTGAGTGAGTCCGGTATCATTGAACAATTATCAGCAACATGGTTTCAGCAAAAGAAAAAATGTCAAAAACGTGATGATGGTCTTATAAAATCATTAGATAATAGTGTAACAATTGAAATAATGAGTGGACTATTAATTACTTTTCTTCTTATAAGTTTTGTATCAGTATTATTACATATCTGCTATCAACGAGAAAAAATAAAAATGATTTTTAAAAACATTAAAGTTAAAATGACATTTATGAAATGTTCATAAAATCTTGTCAAAAATCGTTTATCAAAATTATTGACACAAATGGAAAGTACTAATTCATACATAAATTAAGAACAAGGATTGTTTTTACCGTAGAACTTTAGTGTTTTTTTCTATCAAATATTTACAAATTTTGTCGTTCTTTTCAAATAAACGTTTGTTTTTGTATTTCTGAATTTGGTGGTTGTTAACACAGTTAATTTTTTCTTAACGGAATGTACTGCTATGTTAAATTTTCCTTTTTTATTATTTTCTTTTATTAGCATGTTGCTACGATTGTCATATGTGTACGTATTCGTTTCTGTTCAAAACACAAGCGTATACGGTAATTGGAGAAAAGTTTTGGATAAAATTGTTCAAAATTTATTAGTGTATTTTTCGAAATAAAGCAAAATTGTCTGCTTAATTCCATTTATACTGACACAGTAGGCAATGTGTGGACATTTCGTCAAAAAGGAGCGTAAAAGATTGGTTGTCTATAAGTAGAGTAGTGGTGTTTCGTTCCTTATTTTCATGTGTATTTCACGTTTCTATTATATATGTATATATACTTGGATACTGTATTAACTTCGAAATCTACAAAAAAAATTAACGAAACGTGAACTTATTACCGTTGGTTGATAGCGACAATACAATACGGATAGATTACAGAAAGAAGAGAAAAAAGAAAAGAAAACATAAAGAAGATATATATAGTTTATTTGCTTTATGCTATATGATTTATTTACGGCTAATTATTTCCAAAAAAAATTAATATAAATTCTTCTTCTCCATTTCGTTTTTTAATAACCCAAATATTTCACAACATTAACGACGTTGTCAAAGATGGCGAAACGACAACTAAATAACATTTAAATTAATGATGACCTTTAAGAAAAATAAACCTTCAATGTGCATACATATCGCACTAATAGATAATAGAAACAAATCATATGTATACGATGTAAAGTTGTATTCAGTTATTTGAAGTAATAATTGACGACCGTTTGAATAGAATGTTAAATTTAATTTTTATTCAACATATCGGCTGCGATCTCGCAATATATCGCCGATTTTTATCACATAGAGTGAGGGTTTTCTTTTTAGGTGAAACGACTTTATCGGACGAAGACAGAGTAACGGCGAAATGCCAAGATAAAATAATAATTGAAATTCCGATGAAAGAATTGGAAAATATTGAATTGTGGGACATATCTGGTTTCGATGAGAATGTATTTATCGATAAACGAATAAATGAAATTATCAACGACACCTCTTATACCGCTCGTCAAATTTCCTACAAGATGAAACAATTTAAAATATCTTTATCGGCTGGTTCACTCACTTTGATTTTAAATGTGGCATTAGTTTTGCTGGAAGTTTCGAGACCGATATTAAATGATCTTCAATAATCTTGAAAGTGGAAACATAGAATATCGATCATCGTGAAAGTGTTTATTTTTTGATTTCCAATAGTTAACTATAGACTTCGATCTTTTTGAACATTCCTTTCTGTGATTAAATTATTTTGACGTGTTTTCAGCACATTGGGAAACCCACTTGAGAAAATAGATGTGAAAATCGTCCAAAACTATCAAATTTTTTTTTATCAATCAAAAGATTCGGTATGTTTAAAACGTTTTCTAAAATTAACTGTTTAGCACAATGGTTGTCCCGCTTTTGCCAATTTTCAATTCAACTCAAACTTTACAAAAAATTTCTTCTGTCCATATCATCTTCTATATCCCATGTGAAAAAATACATAAGTTTTCGTGGATTTCAATTTAGATTTAATAAAAATTCAAGACTTTCTTATAAAAAAAACAGTTTTCTTCTCAAAATCAATATTTTAATAAAAACAAATGGCATATTCGAACTCAGGGGGTAAAACCGCATCGAAGTATGTATAAAACATTAAATTTTGATTGAAAAAAATATCTCAAGCAAAAGTTTTCGTTTAGGACGATTTTTAAGAAAATTAATTTTTTTTGAAATCGTTTCGTTTTCGTAGAGACGTAAGAACAAGTTACATTTAATATTGCTTTTTATTATATGTTCAACACTGCTCAATTCAATTGAAACTCAAATAATTTAATTGTTTGAGTCATCCTCATATTGTTTTCGCTTACTGCAAAAACAGAAGCAGATAAAATTCTTGTAATTGAAAGATTGCACCTTCTTTCGAAACATTTTCAGAAAGTCGATTTTTATTGTATAACACAAATGTTTATCTATTTTAAGAAAAAAATGACGCTGTTATGTTTTGGATCATTTTTGAGAGAAAATTAATAGAGACGTGCAGCAGTGACCAGTCGATAGCCAAGAGTAGACCTTACATTTTTATGAAAAGATACATCTAAGAGTCATTTTGAAGGTCTGAAAACAACGAGATTTTTATTCAATAAATCACCATATGTTACGGTTTAGATGACATTAGAGAGATGGCATCGAATTTACTAGAATCTTTAATACTATCTTCACTTGATTTATGAGATCCTGACTAATGATTGGAACGTAAGCTATTAATTATATTAAAATGCAAAACAAAACAATAACATCCTTTAGCGTTGGCCTTTTCATGAGAATTAAAAACTCATAATTCATATACAATGAATATTACAATGAGAATTTTAGAATATAATAAATTTGGGTAATTTACTGACTCATGTAGTTCAAACTATGAGGATATTTTATGGCGCTTCAAAAATTTTTCGAGAAAACCAGTCATATATAATACACGTTTAAATAAAAAAATGATCTAAATTGTGTGCAAATTCACCCTACTCTTTTTTAATAAATACATCTTTAGAAGAAAAAAGAGAACTTCCAAAATTGTAAGTAATCTGGAAATGAGAAACTAGTCTTTAGAAAAATTCAAAATCAGAAAAACTCTGATAAATCGAAGAAGTCAACAAATGGGATAGAAGATATCATTCTATGCACGTGTCTACTGGTATGCAACGTGATCAGAGACCGGATTGGATCATTCTTTACACTATTTGACACAGACGTCATACGTTGAAAAACGTGACAAGACAAAGATATTCTTTTTGCTGTAATTGAATTGTGATAGAGAATGATCGCCGTTCATTTAGCAATTGGTATAATTATTTTCTTATCAACTAAGAATCGTCTTCCAGCATGGTGCATTCTAATGGGTGCTGTCTTATACGATATATTAACTGGTATATTCTTATTATTTGGTATTGAAAATGTGCAAGCAAATTTAGCAGATAAACCGTTAGGACTGAATTTAACCCATATCGATTGGACACATTCAGTTTTAATGGCAGTCATTTGGTCATTTGTTTGGGCTTTTTGCTGCTGGTGATCTACTGAACAACCTAAAATATTTAAATGGTCACTGGGTGTTTGTTTAAGTCATTTTTTTGTAGATTGGCTTGTTCATGCTAAAGATATGACCTTATATCCCAATTCATCGATGAAGTTTGGTTTACAATTATGGAGACTTATACCATTTTAAACTTGGTTTATAGAACTAGGCATAGTTTTATTCGCTTTATTTCTATTATATCATTTAAAATATTCTCGACGTATCACAGTACAAATGATTCTTTTATTAATGATTCATTTTATAAATTATCCAGGTGCACCGACAAATGTAACTTATCAATTAGCGAAAATCTTGGATGGACAAGCGTTACGCATGGCGGTAGGTTGTGTTTTTATTGTAACTTTTGGACTACTCAATTTATGGATCTCTCATATATTAGATAATGAACTTGGAAGAAAAGATGGTACATTATTTTGATCGAAATTTTGGTTTAGCTATTGGTACTTTTTATTTAAAATTAACTCTGCTCCTTTTATTGCAAATTAATGAGAATTGTTTAGAACAAAACAATGGAAACATTCCATGTAAAAAATCAAACAGGTCTCCTATGTACATAGTTTTGCATAATTTTTAAAAATAACCATCCATAGTTGAAAATTACGCGTAATTCACAAGACCCTATGTATAAAAGAGTCCTATGGGTGGTTATGCATAAGACTTTTTTTATCCATAGAGAAAGCATCCTATGCATAATCTGTGACTTTCCGTTACCAAAATGTTATCCATCCTATGCATAATGCAAGCTAGATAGTAACGGCAATTATACATAATTAAAATATTTTATTATGTGGAACTATGTGCGTAGGACCTATTTGATTTTTTACATAGGATTGACTTATGTTGTGTTCTAAATGAAAAATCACAGAATATCAATAGGAGCTCAATCAAATATTCAGGAATAAACTAATATCCAAGCATCAATATCAATCTACCGGACAATAAAAGGGAATCTTCTACTCTACAGAATCTATATCCGATATCCGAATATTACTCACCCTTATTCGATTCTCTATAAAATGTGATGACAAAATTCTTTTTTAGACTTTAATAATTTTTATTCTCTAAAAATAAAATTTATTTTGCAAGACACAGCAAAATTTTCGATGTTACGCGTACTTTAACATTGAACTGCAAACGCATTGTGTAAAACAGACAATACAAACTAACACTAAAATAATTGCATAAGACAGTTAAATCTTACTTATCCTTTATCTATAGCGTTTTCTTTTTTTCTCAAAATATGTTGAACTCACTTATCAAGCAAATATTGCCCATAGATTGTCTTTGGCTATTATGATGAGCCGGAAAGTTATGGTGGGAAAAAGTACATTTAAGTACTAAATGTTTTTGTGCAGTTAAATTCTATGATTAAAGTGAGATCACACAGTTATTCAATACGCCTCAGACTGAAAGTCGAATCACTGCTAATTTTCTGAGATCAGTTATATTACTATGTATCTAATTAAAAATAATTAAAAAAAACAGGATTACTTTACTATATGTTTTCCTCGAAAATTAGTAAATGAGAACAACAGTGCTTAATTTTATTGGTTAAAAGAGTAAGACTTAATTATTAAAATAGGTTTTTTAAACTTCTTCCAAGCTACGGTTTTAATATAAATAGTTGTTTATTATTTCATATCAGTGATTGCTAGAAAGGTAAAAGAAGAGCGGAAGAAATATCAATGTAATCGTATTCTTGTTTTTTTTTGTTTTTTGGGACTTTTCAGTAGCAGTAAACGAACAAAATCAATATATATATTGTGGCCAAACTTAGAATTTGACCAGATTCCGAATCTCGCCGGTCAAACTTAGAATCGAAATGGTCTACACATGGAGAATTCCGATTTTGTCCTAGTCAGAAGTGAAATTCTACTTTCGGTCAGTCAGATGCCAGATTTGGCCAGCCAGAGTTGGAATTCCAATTTGAGCTGGCCAAAACCGAAATTCTCCATGTGTGGACCATTTTAATTCTAAGTTAGGCCAAATATATATATATATATACTAATTCTATCACTACTCATGTCAGACTGCTTGAAGCAGTAGAAGTAGAACTTCTGAGAGTCAAAGCATTTCCAGATTTAGATGTAATGACAATCTTGAGTATGAATTATTAATAAATAAATCTATTAGTCATAAAACAAAACAGATGAGTATGAAATATCTTATTATAAGATTTATTTATTTTTAGTGCATACAGGAACAAATTATTATGTCACAAGTTAGCAGGCATCCCAATTTTTTTCAAAATAATTTCAAAGGCGTTCAAAGATGCCATTAGATACATTTTTTGCATCAAAAACTCTTTGGTAACTTAGCATAAAAGTCGCATGAAATGTCTTTGTCATTAGCGATCTGATCAATATCGATTTTTCAGAAAATGACAAGACCTGACCAAGATATATTGTTGATCTGCTCTGGATAAAAAAACAGATATTCTTCAAATATTTGGTTGGCCGTAGTAATGTCGAAAGTAGAAATGTTGAAGGAGATATATCGAAGCGAAATAATATCGAAGTGAAAAAATACCGAAATAAAAAAATGTCAACGTGGAAAAATATCAAGAAGCTCTTTAGAAAATTCCACACATCTTTGATTTTTGATATAATACTTTTTTTAACATAATTAACATAATAAATATGACAACAGACAACTTTTTTAACGAAAAACAATAAGAAATGAAATGTATAACAATGTTAGAAAAACAACAATAAACTACAGAGGCTTATAGTCTGCGTTTACTAGTGACATCACTTTTTTCGATATTTATTTTTCGACATTTTTCCGTTTTTGACATTATCACTCTTCTACATTTATCCATTCTACATTATTCCTATTCGATATTTAGTTTTCGACGTTTTTCCCTTCGATATTTTTCTTTTCGATATTTCTACGGCACACCAAATGTTTTCGTCACTTTCATGGTCTAATCTTGGAGCTCACCAGGATGAGAAACGATAAACATTACATGTGTCTATAAGTAAACAAGTATTGTCTGTCTTTTCATGATCAGATAATCTAAGCATTTTCTAAGGCTCGTCTCAATGACGTTGCAAGAGAAAACAGCAAAAAGTGTAAAACCACGTCACTGAGACGAGTCCTAGAAAACGTTTAGATTATCTGATCATGAACAGAGGGACAATATTTGTTTATCTATAGACACTTGTAACGCTTCTGTTTTTTTTGGAGAATTGGAACATAAGGCCACATTTTTAGCATGAACAAGCCAATCAACAAAAGAACATTCTGATAAAAAACTTAAAATCTTATTTTGTTAATTTTCTTTAAATTTTTTGATTAGTGAAGGAGAAATTTGAATAAATTAAAATTCATAAATTTAAAACTTAATAATCTTTTTCTCCAATCGAAAGAGTTCGAAAATATGAACAACATCTAGATACGTTGCATGTATGAGAAGAAGTATGCAGTTTAAATTTAATATTGCTATAATCAATACGATTGATAATGACGTGCTAAATTTGGATTCATAAAAATATACCATATTGAATTTAGGATAATTAGATCAAACATTGCACCTTTATATATTTTACTAATTTTATATTGCAAAATAAATATATAAAATAATTACTTTTATAAATTAGTTAACATGAAGCATGTCAGTATAACTTTTCTATATCTATTTCTAATCATATAACTTTTAACTAATTAGATTGTCAAGATAACAAACATTCGAATGTTTTGAAGTTGAGCGTTATTCTTATACTTTATTTTACATTGAAATATTGATGACAGTAGATAAAACAAAGCAAATTACGAGACAGTTTTAAACAAAAAAGAATCGATACCTTCGCATCCTCAATGTATCTCTCTGTAAATATTTCTTTTTTTACAGATTTTATTGTTCTATCAAACTTTTTACTGTAGACGAAGGGCATACGGCAGAAAATATATATTCAGTATAAAAAAAAATAACATTTTTTATCTCATCAATTCTTCGTCATGGTTGAAAGATTTTTTGTTATTCTGTGTTTTTTTAAAATATTTGATACTATATACATATTTGTAACTATCTCAGATAGCGTAAAAGGCATATCAAGGTGTTGTGTTGTATATATTTAACTATAGTTATATATTACACCCTCGACTATTACACCCTCGATATGCTTTTCGTTTTCTTTCTTATGAGCGTTGAACAAAAAATGACATCGAATTAGTCTTGATCACAGAATAAACGACCGAAAACAATTTGAAAGTATTAATCCAAAAGGTCAGACTGTTTTTGTTTTAAATATTTCTTTATGCGAGTTTAAAGGTCAATTTTCATGATGTGAAAGATATTTTTTAGAAAAAACAGATATGATTACTTCAGAGAGATATTTTGTGGTGAATTTTTGTTGAAAAAACAGCGATGAGTATTCCTTGCAAGACTCAGAATGTGTTTAATTGATGAAGGGTCTACGAAAGATACACACGGTGGATCTTGAGCATGGGCAGATTGCATACGAAATAAGAAATTCTTGAGTTTTATTATATGATGATATTATGTACTATTGCGATTAGGTATCCAGTAGTATTTTGATGAGGATTTGAAACAAGATTGTAGGAACAATCTTCGAAGGCTCAAGAGGTTTTTGCATAAAACATTTGCTTTGATCATCTGTAAGCGATATTCTTAATTTTTATTTGTGAACTCGACTTCCACATGCGATCATATTTGACAGATCATAGATCCCATCATCAGTCATCAAAAACAGTATTTTATAAACAGATGAATAATCATCTAATCTGCTGAAAGAAAATTTATTGAAAAATTAATTTTAGACGAAGATTCACAAATTCACACAAACTTAGCACATGTTAATGGCGGTGAACAAGTTTCAAAAACGAAAAATTATCTACATTTAGATAAACGCATTTCTGTTTGAACTGTCTTTGATCACCATTCTATTAATGTCTCTTGGTTTATTAATTATCTATAGAAGCATAAGTAAGAATTTGTTATTACGTGCGCAACCTGTCCGTACGCAGCTCTCGTTGATAAAGGAGGGTGTCCAATAAGAACGATAATCAGTCCCATTTGAAACTTAATTGAAGAGTGTTCTGAGTGAAAGACCTCTTTCACTCAGAACACTCTTCAATTAAGTTTCAAATGGGACTGATTATCGTTCTTATTGAACATTCCGTCCTTCACATGATTAATATTAGATAGTTTGGTTATCTTTTAATTTCTGTTATTAATTATGTTAGAATGACATTCGAACGTAACACAGAAAATGAGACTAATTTTGAAATAATTAATTTTGAAGATATTGGTAATGAAATAAACAGTCATATTGATTATACTAAATCTACTTCTAAAAATCACAAATCGCTGTCAATCGATGAAATATATGAAATTAGTAATTCAAATAAAAACAATATACATGCTGATTATCCATTGAATTCAGGAGATTTTCAAAATTTAAAATATTATTTAAAAAAGCATAGTTATCTAACACAACCAACATCAAGTACAGGTAGTAGTAGTAGCGATGAATATTCAATTTTAAATACCGTACCATCATACCATCATTATAATTCACCTAACTCTACATTTGAAACTCCATATTATGACGCTACAAACGATTTTTATTCCGGTAAAATTCATACAGATCTAGATGATGCCCAATATAAATCATTACCGTTAACAGATGTTTATCATTATCATCATCATCATAGACACCACCATCAGAGACATGAACATATTCCTCGTACGCCCGATGGTGAACAACAAACTATCGTAGCACAAGATGATTCAGATTATGCAAAATATTTATTAAATGAAGAATTTAATCTGCAAGAAATTCAAGAGAAGGCGATTGTACCACCGTTTGTCCTGGATGTTGTGACATGTGGGATGCAAAAAGACATGCGTTTACCTATACCAAAAGAAAATTATTCATTACATTCTGGAGAATTTGGTGATGATGCAGGATTTACGGCACAACGATCTATGCAACATTACTTAGGTGAGTATATTGTTCAATTGACAGTTGTAACAGAAAAGATGTGGATTTGGCTAAAAGTTTAGTTTAGCTTTGTATGTCACACTATTATGATATGTTTGAATGATGTTTTAATTGAACACTTTCTAGATATATTAATTTCGCTTGAAAACATTGTAGAAAACCAAAAAAGTGGGTTAACGAAAATGTTTTCAGAAAGAACGGGAAGAGATTGATCAGAAGTCAAAACCGTTTTAAACACTAATAAAAGGATTTAGTAGAGAGGTTTTCACTGCTACTAAACTTTTTATTGATCGATAGATCGAGTTTTTATAAGTTATAAGTCGAGTATGGTGTGTGCCTCGTGTGTTCTTTGGATGTTACTAACTAGATTTTTGGCTGTTAGTAGCCGTCATTAAGTATCGATCTACTCATTAAAATACTAATATCTGGCTAATATCTACCACATTTAAATTGAGAAGACAGTCACGATCGTAGGTTGAGAAAGTTGAATCAACATTTTCATCAATCACAACAATTAGAAACTTATGCGAATATAAGTGTGAAGTTTTATCTTCGAAGTCGTACTTGGTTAGAAAATTATTTCCCCTTGTATTTTGACAGAAAAAAGATTAAAAAAAAATTCGAAATCTAGCATTTTTTAAATTTTGTTTTGAAAGTTTCGCTCTGCGGAACCAATTTGAAACTATAGAACACACACATTCTTACTCAGCTCGACGAACTCTCTCTCCAGTCATATATAAATCAATTTAAAAGTTTGATATGGAAACTTTGAATTTTCAGCATCTTATCCCTTTCACTTAGAAATGTGCCAAAAACATTTAGTCAATGTTTGGAACAAAATAATCTTTATAAGTATAGTAATATCTTTTATAAGATACTATCAATTTTACAAAATTCTTTCAGTTTTTCAGATTACGCTTCTGTTTTTTAGAGACTACATGAAAGAACGATCACGACTTAAGCGGTATCATAGTACAGAATCTCTTGCTAAGACAATTTTATTGTGGAGAAAACAATCAGATTTTGTAGTGCTTTGTGGATGGATGATTTTATTTTGTAATCAGACATGAGATATTAGTGAAAATCACAAGTTTTTCTTCTATACGGCAATGAATATGTTCAAACTTTATTTATGTTGAGGATGATGTTGTCGAAATGTTTTAAGCAACAGTTGTTCGATGTTTTCTATCTTCTAAGGGATTGCTGATGGTGCAGGTGGTAATAAAATGTATGGTTTTAATCCAAAATTATTTTCCAATTCATTAATGAAAAACTGTTCAAGCTTGTTTAATACCGGTAATTATTCGGTACAAGAACCAAAGAAGTTATTATGTAATGCATTTGACTACGTACAAGATGAAAACTGTTACGGTAAATATATTTTTTTTAATGTGAATTTATAGTCATTTTAGGCTACTAATTTATTGCTAAGTAAAACTACCTAAATGCTAAGTTAATGTTTGTTAATTAGCTAAGTTAAGTTTTACTTTAGTAAGCTATTTCGTCTCAAAAAACATAATTATTTTTAATAAATTACTTAGGATAAAAATAACTTTTTACTTAGCATTTAAATGAGAGCCGTAACTTTATATGTTGGTAGGTAGTTCAACAGCGTGTTTAGTGGGCGTTGATTGTTCAACTGCTCGTTTATATTCTGTAAATATTGGTGATAGTGGTTATGTTATTTTACGTAATGGAAAAGTTCTCTATCGTTCACGTTCACAAAAAATGAATGGTGATTGTCCACGACAACTTGATGTTTATCCATGGACAGCCGCATTAAAACAACAAGGATTGAATTATACACAAATATCGTAAGTAAATATCTTTCTTTCACAAGTCAAGTTATTAAAGTGAATACATTCCATTGCTTTTCTAGAAGTCTCGATGCTATATGTCAAAGTTTTCAATTGACTGAAGGTGATATTGTTATTCTATCAACAGATGGACTCTTTGATAACGTTCATGATGATATGCTCGAAAGGATCGTCTCGAATGTAAGTCTTAATATAACAATATTTTGTTCATTTTTTTTGTTTACTTTTTTTTTACAGAGTCATTCATTATCACATGCAGCAACACAGTTGGTCAATCAAGCTGTCCGATTTTATTTGAAACCAGATGATATTTTAATTATCATCGCACGTATACAACATGCATCAATTCAACTTTAAACACTGTTCTTGCACGTTGTTTATCAGTGGAATTATGAGTATTTTCAATAAAAGAATGATATTTGTTCGACGATAGACATCTGATACTATGACTATACTAAGATGAGAGATGCACGAGTTACACATGAATTTCTCATATATACCTTAAACTTAGTTTTATCTATAGTGAATATCAAATCTATGTACTGTCTGAAAATGTCAAAATAAATGCCAGAAAATCTAAAATCTAAAATGCTTCATACGAGTGCTTGAGAAAATACTTCAGATGTGGTTTTGTGAAAATTTTTTAAACATTTTCTCAAGAACTTTTAAAGATGAAAAACTTGTTTTTTGGAAATTTTTATGATATTTCTAGGAGGAAACGATATTTTTGTAACAGGTAACTGCTTGGATGATGCATTCTGTGCTCTCCCTACTACCGCTAAACACTTTTGCATCACACTAGTTCTAACATTTTTCGAGATTTTTGTAATAATGTCTCACCACTAGAAATATCCTAGCACCGTCAGTAAATTGAAGTCTAAAGTTATCTCATTATCTATATTGGCGTATCGCGAAATTAAGAGAAAAAACAGTTTTTTTATTGTTTATTTTACTGAAAGTCTTACTTATCTTACTCAAGTCTTAATTTCATAGAATCATTTTTACGAAACAAGTTTATTTAAATAAATGTATTTAGTTGTCTTTCATATTGTAAACCTATACAGTAGATAGTCCAAAATCCGTTCATCAAAATGATTTTCAGTCGTTCGGATGTGATATCGGATTTCCTTGGCTCACCAGGAGTGATACATGATGATTTTGAGTAAACGCGGAATCTTACGGAACGCATATAATTGATCATAGTGAATTTGGTGAGAAGATTTGTTTTCTAAAAAG